TGCCGCCATCGTGCCCGCAATCACTGAATCACTGAGCTTTTGAAGTCCATGTGTCGTGAGAGTAGTTTGCGACTTTTGTGATTTCGTGAATGTGCAACCTGAGCAGTTGCAGAGTGGATGAGTCCACGTTGAGGGTAGAGTTTAAAGCACCAGCACACACATGTCAAACATGTATGTTGTGCATACGTTTCTGATTCGAGTTTGTTGTTTTGGTCTTGATCCGAGGACCAATGGACTAGCCAAGAATTTTTCGGTAGTGCTGTGGAGCAGCGCCCTTTTGTACTTAGGTACGTTGTGCTTTGGGATCATCGCGATCTCAAACGTTGGTGTGATTGATAGCTGCAATCGCCAGCTATAAATCAAAGGGGGTAACAACGTTTTCGGGAAACCTGAAACCCCTTTTATTTTGTTTACTTGCAAAGCTTTGACAAGCTTGTGACCACCGGACGTAAAGGCTCAGAGTGACGAAAAGTGTGGCCTCGTTTTGGGGTTTGTGTTTTAGACCCGCTTCTCCAACAAGGGGCGCATCAGATGGAGCCTCTTAATGTTCGTTTGCTCTCTTGAAGAATTTCCGATATGTGCACTTGGCTTGGGGTGATGACGGGTGCACTTGTGTACCTATTGACCTTCGGCCCTTGAGCCACATCTTGGAGGTGTGACCTTGTGGCGAAGTCATTCTCTGGAAGCGAACTCTTTCCCGAGAAACCCCACGGCATTGTGCAATATCAAGAATAAAAGAGTGCGTGTCAGTGTGCGAGCAGATTATGAAGTATCCAAGATATTGATTGATTTAATTTGTCTGGAATACTACATTCGATCAAAGCAGATATGTCTCGATTTTGTTTGACCCGTTTGTGGAATAGGAAATAAGTGACTTCATCACTTGTAAATATCACTTTATTTCCTTTTTTACCACAACCGATTTTCATGTCTGTGAACACGGTTGAGCGCAAGAACAAATCGGGGTCGCTCAAGTTTTTCTTGAGAACTCTGCTTGAATGTGAGCATCGCATGCTCAAGAGAGCTGTGAGCATGCAATAAAATTTTTGACCCACCCGCCCGCCCGGGGTGATGACGGGTGCACTTGTGTACCTATTGACCTTCGGCCCTTGAGCCACATCTTGGAGGTGTGACCTTATGGCGAAGTCATTCTCTGGAAGCGAACTCTTTCTCGAGAAACCCCACGGCATTGTGCAATATCAAGAATAAAAGAGTGCGTGTCAGTGTGCGAGCAGATTATGAAGTATCCAAGATATTGATTGATTTAATTTGTCTGGAATACTACATTCGATCAAAGCAGATATGTCTCGATTTTGGTTTGCACGTTTGTGGAATAGGAAATATAATATTTGCTGCCTAGCTAGCTGACTATCTTGACATCGTAACTTACGTAACCAGTACTTAAGTTAGGCCTGTAAAAGTGCATAGGTGAGAGCGATGCAGAAATGCAAGAGAATCGAGAGAGTGTTCGCTTGCGGCTTGGAGTGAGCGCGGTGTCCAGGCCACAGACATGCGACCCACAGCAGAAAAACACAAGAAATCGGCACGTGCGAAACAAATTCATGAAAAACAAATTGGGGCAGATCCAGACCTGTCAATCAGAGGGCAGAAAGCAACACTCACATGGAATACCCACAGAGCAACTTTACATGTTCCATGGATGCTTGTGACCGCCGTTTGGACATGGGTTCTGTGCAATCAGCACCGCCAAAGTCCGACCCAATACCCCGCAAAGCGGCGGGTCGGTGTTGTCGGGTGCAGCAACAGCAGTCAAGATGGTGTCGACCTTTGCGTTCTGCATGGGGTGGAAACCAAAAGCAAGGCTAGCAACGGCATCAGTGCATCAGTAAAAATACGTGGCAGTTCGATTATTGTGAACCGTACATGAAGAAAAAATCAGCACACATCAAACTATACAGCTGGCGGGCGTGTGGTGTCAGAGTCGATGGCTTCCAACAGCGATGGCGTGGCCGCTGCTCAGCGGCTCGGTGATATTGAGTTGCAAAAGATCTGAGTCTTGGGTTTACATTCTTCTGCGTGTGTGCGACCTTCCATTCTGAGGTTCCCGGGTGGTGGAGAAGAGGGACAATGCAGAGGTGGTTTTCAATTCGTGCTTGGACATGAGTGAAAGAGCTATCTTGACCTGACAGGTCAAGCCCGTGCAGCTGATGCCAAAACTGCCACCGAATGTGTCTCAGAAAGTCTTGTGTAATTGTCGTGCTGCGCTGGAGCTGCGTCACATAAACATCCAAGGAATGGGCCGTCAGGACACCTTCAGGCAGAAATTCTGCTTGGAAAGTCTGGCGAGTTTGATTTGCGTGTGGCGCTCAAGAAGTTCGGAAGTTGCTCAAAGTGATAGAATTTCTCATGCAAAACAGTTGTGAAGGCTTGACTTCAAAGCGTCTTGTGGCATGCTCAGGGACGCTTTACCGTCTCCAAACCAATGTTTCACATCTGCACTCTGCAAGCATCGGTGCTCGTGCGTCTGTGCCGTTGAGAGACACCTGAAGAACACACCGAGGCCCAGAACTTGTCCCGAATTCCTGCAACTGCCCGATTGCATAGGCTTTGCGTCGAAATCGCGAGCCAAATGTTTGGTGCACAAGCCAAGTTGCCAAGTTTCAGACAACATGCAGGCCTCTCCCACCGTTGCTAGAAAGCTGCGAGTCAAGGAGACCTCGTTCTGCAAGGAAAATATTCTTGTCAGTTTGAACATCATATGTGCTTTCTTTTGACAGGACGCAAAGACAGCGGCGCACAGGACAAGCAGACAACTCAAATGATCACTCGCAACGAGTGTTGAGCATGTATTTGGCTATCCTGTTCAAGTGGCAGTCTGTGATTTGTTGAGTTCAGGGCGAGTTTGCAAATGATCTCCATAAAATCGTTCGTGCCTGAGCCGGGCGTTTCAACTGACAACGAGTTTGGTGTGAGCGGCAGAACACTGACAAGGACCATTTGCACTTGGTCCACTCCCTTCCTGATGATGTCCTGTCCTTAATGTCCGAAGCCTCACTTCCAGCACAGGTTCTGCTTGTCCCAGGGATCGGGATCCCACGCCACAGACCAGGCTGACACTGAAAGGCACACTTCAGATGTGTGTAGCGACAGACTTCTGTGAACACTTTTTCGGAGGCCCGATCAAAATTCCTTGCAGGAGCTTGGTGTGCCAGCGGCCCAGGATGTCCTTTCGAAGCCCTCAGAAATCCCTTCTGCTCCGAGACCTGAGCATGATGTCACCTCGTTGATGGCAGGCTGGAACGTGTGCAAGTAGCAAAAGGCTGTTCTATTTGATTGTCTGCTCCACGTGAGGCACGACCAGCAGTCGGAGCTTGTTCTCGAATGTAGCCTCTTCAGAAGTCCACATCTGAGTTGCTCTGACGAAGTCTTCGAAGCGAAGTGTGAGTCCTGAATCCGGATGGTCGTGGACGGTCCATGACTCTCAGGCAAGCTTGACATCGGCATCGCAGGCACCTGTCTCACTAAGGCCAGCAAACTTTCACGAGTGCATGTAAAGGTTGTAAAAGCTGAAATGTATTTCTCTGCTCCATTTGCTCTTTTTGGTTATTGGTGGCTCGCAGAACCTCGCCTCAGTTGCCAAAGCCTGTCTGCCAAGGCGTGATGCAGACGCCTTGGTGAGCTTCCAAGTGCTCTGGTCATCGAGCCGATGTTGCACTGGATGTTCTGTTGAAAGGGGGCAGCTTGTCAGCGGCTGAAGTCGCCACCTCAGACAGTTTCGGGCGTGGACTGGTTCAAGTGGGGACCTGGCCAGGCGGGGGAATTGCTCGAGCCGGAGCCAGAGATCAGACGTGCGGCGCTGGACGGTTGAGGGCTCGTTTCGTGCTTGCCGCAGCATCCGGAAGGTTCTGGTCGGAGAGCCTGAACCTTGGGTTCTAGACCGCCGGCGGCCCAACAAAAACGCGTTCGCCTGTTGCAAGCAGAGCACGGCTACCGCCCACCAGGCCTGAAGGCCTGCTTTCAGCACTCGTTTTCCGAGGTGAAGGCAGTCCCGAATTGATCCCACAAGCTCCAAGCACAGAACTTGAGTGGAGGCTCAACTTCTTGAGATGGAACGCGTTCTGACTGGGCCGAACAAAGAAGGACCCGTGCTTTGCCCAATTGCGGGAACCGTAGACGACAGAGTATGACAGAGTCTCCGGTGGAAGGCGACGGTGATGACGATACTCCAGTACTGGTCCTGGCCTTGTCTCTGGGTTTAAAGCAGAACACTTCGAGCATCTGCTGGTCCTCGGGATGTGGCGCGTGTGTGCAGGCGACAGACTTTGCCAAGTCATGTGTCGTCTCAGAGTGCAGAGTCGACAGAGACACCGTGCAGTGTCACTTCACACCTGGCTTGTGTCACCCACGCGGCCAAAATCCTGAAGATTTGCCGGGCTCTGCTCTGGATTGCCCGGGAAGATGACCGATGCTCAGGTGTCTGTGGGCTGTACCACCTAATCTCGGCAGTCTCGGCCCTCCCATCACAATAAGCTCAACTTCTGTTTCTTGCGGGGGTCGATCGCCCTAAGGCGGCCAAGAAGCCAAACAGACTAAAGGAGAAAGAGAGGCGAATGAAAAAGGCTGAGGCACGGACGCGGTGGCCGGAAGACCGCGCTGAACACATTCTGCCCCGCAGGCAGCAACAGCCCAAGCGAGCCAAGCTGGGGAGGTGCTTCACCACGTGGCTTCTATGCAGGACCGCTGTGCTTTGAGAGGACGTCTCGTGTTTGCTCAACGTCGCAGGCTGCTTTCGACGCTTCTGGACTCGAGGGCTGGGAGCAGCCGCCGGCCTGACATGTGCCTCCTGCAAGAGTGTAAAGACAGTCATAGGCACGCATTGCAGGCAGCATCAAGCTGAGGCCAGACCTGCCATGTTTTTGGGTGTCCGTCTGTCTGTTGCAGTGCTTACCAGGTGAAAGCCATGACCTCCACCACCAGGCCTGTGCATACCGCTACAAGAGACTGATGCTCACCGTTTCGATGGCTCGAAGAAGAGGTCAATGCAGCTTCATCCTCTGGCCGCGTCTGCCGCGTCTGTCACTACACAGGACGCTCCGATTTCGTGCTGTGACTAACAGACTAGCAATCATGACGGCCATACATGTGCAGCATTTGCAGTCTTTGACTTTTTCAGGCGATCGCAGAGTCAAGCGACAAGGACGAGGAAGAAGAGGAGGCGGCTAATAAGATTCACTTGAGTACTCGTGTCCACGGCCTGCGAAACAGTCCGTCGCAGGAGAATCCGGAAGAGGAACTTGCGACCTCCTCCGATGTCGAGGTGCAGATGAACAGACGCTTGGGGTTGACATCGTGTGAATCGAAGAGGCCTTTCGCAGCGGGCAGATGCTGTGTTTTGTTCGGCGACTTTGTGGCCTGCCACTGGTGGATCTCAATCTGCATTTCGAGGCACGGAGTGACAAGTGCAGGGCCAGAGTGCGTACTGTGACACTGTGCTCTGAGCGAACCGCGACGCTAGTGGTTCTCAGATTCATGTAAGCCGCTGCGGCTCCTCTGCTGCAGCAGGTTTCCCCTCGTCACCTGAGCCTAATCACGAAAACTATACGCACTGGAGGAGTAGGACTGAGTAGCAATCAACTGGGGGCAGTCAAGTCAAGACAAGACGAACGAATCGTCAACTGATGGGCATCAGGCCGGAAAACATAAATCTAGTCAGGTACTACCCAAGGGACAGCATGCGGTTTTAGGAACCACTCCATGTTCAGGTTGCTCATGGCGATCATAGTTATTAGATGGACAAAGCTTGCTTGATGAGTTGGCCACAGCGGGGTGATGCTTAAGAAAATACACGCTAGCTGCAGCAAAGGCGCTAGATTTCCTTGGCCGTGGGCCAGCTTGACCTGGATACCCCCAAGGAAGATCGCCAATGAAAAAATAACTGAGTGATCTCTCCCTGCCGAAAGCCTCACTGCCTCGGCCTGAAGTGGTTTCATGTGACAAGTGCTTTGATGTGGTGACACACGTTCATTCGCTCAACTAGGCACGATACCTGTTTCCTAGCTGCCGCTTCGTGTCAAGTGAGTCCAGGAGACTTTGGATTTCTTTAGCACTACAGTGCAGGCGTGTTTCAACTGTCAGGCTGCGTGCCGAATCTTCTGCGAGGCATGTTGTTGATCTTTGTTCTTGCCAACAGCTTGGTGGTGTGAAACCTCTGGTCTCATGCAGTACATAAGGAAACTTGACTTCAGCTCGAAACAGCTACCATTTCATGCCGGCGATCTCTGAGTGTGTGTCAGGTGATAGTGATCTGCGAAGGTCAGGTCACAGTCAGGTGTCTGCAGCTTGCATAGGTTCTGCAGCCGCTGCAACCACCGGCTGGTGTTCGGGCAGCCAGACTCGGTCCGAGCGCAAGCCAAGTGTGTCTTGTTTTTGTGAGAGTTGTGAGAGAAGGCGATGGCCACGGGCCCGACTTGTCGCATGCGACAACGAAGTTTCTGGAGCTCCAGCTCGGCCAGGCGATAGCAGGCATAAGCAGGTCTTCCCCTCCAGCGTTGTAGCGGTGGGGCCTAGCAGGTTTCAGTGGTGCACAGCGAGGGATCCCTCGTGGATGCGGTGGAAGAAGGCTTTGCAGCGATGCACGCGAGGCTGGAGTCAGAGGCGGTTTTGGACCTTTGCGGGATAGCCAACCTTCCAGAGGATTGGTCCGCCTCGTGTCGTCGTCCAGTGTGAGAAGCGAGAAGAAATGTGGAGGCCCAGTAGGGTTTGTGTCCTGGACGGAGGGAGTCACATCTGTTGCGAGGCACCGACCACAACAAGAGCTGAAGAAACGCCAGGCAACACGATGAGTTGAGTTGAGCAATGTTGGGCACTGTGCTGTGGCCGTCTGGTGCACCAGAATTTGTGAGCTCGACCCAAGGCCAGTTTCAAACGCCAGAAAGAAAAGCTTCTGCTTGAGCAGCAACAGTTCGTCAAGGATCTGCAGCAACTTGCTACAATCGGGGGTCATGTGGGGTCATGCTTCATTATCCTCATCTTCACATAGCATTCTGCTCTCAGCCCAGGGATCGACGAAAACCGACAGAGGAAGAAGACGGAGTCTTGGGTCTTGTGGTACATGGGCAAGCTTTGCGTGAGCAACGTGTCTTGCAGGCAGCTGCGTTTCCATCAAACCGCAGGCAGCGTCTCTTTTTGGAACTGCTCTTTAGAGGTCTTGCAGTTTCAGTCCCTGAGTTGAGGCTAGACAAAGCAGACTTTGCAGCATCTAAGTAGACCAGCTGCACATGGCATCGGTCATCATGTGCTGACAGGATGAACACTTTCGACTGCGGGCCCGACCAGGAGGGACTTCCCATGTGCTATAGGCTGCTGCGATCAGCTGTGTGTCCTGGCAGGATCTTGTGTGCCATACTCAGCTGGTGAGGTTGGATGTGTGTTCGTGCAGCAGGGTTTGTCTGGAGGCTGGTCTCGGACATCTTCCGCGACTTGCAGCCGCTGCTGTGATGGTCTTGGTGACTGGCGAAGTCTTGGGCATTAGAGAGCAATTGAGGGTTCCTGGCAAGGCACATGACGAAGACGGAAGAGCATTCCGGACCAAGTCGCACAATCTTGTCCCCGCAGGCAGATACCACCAGGCCTTGGTCGGTGTACTTTTTGATGCCAGACTGCGAGATAAACTGTAGAGGGAGCAGGCCTTCGCAGGAGCTGCATCGGCGCAACGCTTCCATTGTTCCATCGTTCCTAGAGCTGTTTCTTGTGGTTGTAGGACCATCACGAGTCCTGATAGCGAGGTCGCGCCACCTCGAACACTGGTGTCCAGAGGAAACCCCTCCCAAAACCACGCGATCGAATTTTCGCGACTCCTTGGATTCCGGCTTGCGATGGCTTGCATTTCTTCTGATTCGACCGAGCGACTCCGGAACGTGACCCAGAAGTTGGGGGGAGGGGCTGCATTCCGTAAGGCTTCCTTTCTTGCAGTCTCCTAAAGCAGGCAGCTGGATGGCTGAATGGTGTCTGTCTTCAAAAAATGGAAGACAGATTGTGGCGAGATTTGAGAATTTTGAGCATCAACCGGTGCTCGGAAGATCTTGGAAGGGAACCTGGCCTCCTACGGAGGCCGGCGATGAAGCGAATTTCACACGTGTCCAGCGATCTTTGTCTGCCGGGACCGCAAATCCAAGCACGGTGGCATTTCTGACCTTCTCAACACTTCAGAGCATGCGGCATGTGCTCAGAAATCCATCGCGGCCATTCAACAAGTGCGAACAACTTCTGCAGTTCAGCGAAGGTGGTTTAGTACGCAATCATAGGTTTGTCACTGGAGAAGCTTTTTCTGGACAAAGCAGGAAAGAAGTGGAGACCGCTATCCCTTCTTTTCCAATCTGCACGTACTGCAAACAACAGAAGTTCTGTTTTTGTTGAGGAGAGCCAGTGAAGTTATCGGTCAAGACTCTGGCATACTAGCCATGGATTCAGGCTTCGTAGGGTTGTTTCTCGGGGCTGCAGCTGTATGTGCAAGGCCGAACGAAGAAGGAAGACATGCCACTGCTGGTTGTCACGGTTCGCGCCCTGGTTTCTCAAGAGCTACGCAGTCGGCGTGCGGCCTTCGCCAGCTGATTCGTCGGAGGCGACACGCACGGAGCTTTCGCAATCCGGCGCAAGCTTCTTAGCCCAAGTCTCCGAGGCTCATTCAGCTGGTTGCGTTGCTGAGAGCCTGCAGATTGCAATATACTTTCCGGGCACTCTTCGGAGTCGTGTTCTCTGCACCGCATGGGCCATCGGTCCAGCACGATGTGATCCTATCCGCTACCAGGTTACCCTCATCTGTACCCTTTCGATCGCATAGCAGCGTCGACAACGCCACGGAGCCGGAGCAAAAGTCCTGTGGTGTCTTTTCGAGTCATGCAGATCTGTTCGTCCCCATTGCGATCGTGATTTCTCCACAAAGTGGTTCCACTTTGTTCTGCACTTTCCAGTGAACCGTCGATGTGAAGCTTGCAAGTCTGAACACAAGTTGAGAGTCTTGACCAGTTCGTGAAGTTTAGCAATACCAGAATCTGGACAGGATAGGTTGGGGATGAACCAGTGCAGATGGACTTTTGCAAAGTGCTTGGACCTGTTGGGAGATGGTTTTTGACATTTGGCTAGTACTCATCTGCCGTGCCTCCTTTGTCTCTGAGCTTGTGTTGGCTCTCATACGGTCGAGAATCGGCAATCAAAGTGCTTCGGCAAGACCCTGGTCTATCTGTTACTGGGCAGAAACTAAAATCCTTTCGAATGTGCGACTCAAGCCAGAAGATCGCACATTTGAGTCTCATGATTCGGCAATCAAGACAGTGCAGTGATGTTGCCCTTCCGGTGGACAGGATTTGGCGCATTTCGGAGGCACCATCACCGCAAATACTTGCTTTTGCTATCAGACCTGTGATTTGTCAGGCACGATACATGTGTTCTTTGGACCGGCAGCAGTGTGGTTGGGTCTGGCATGGAAGGTGCGCATCTGAGTCTCAGGGTAAAAGCTCACGTGTCGTGACAAGCGACAGGGGTCGGATGCATGACTGATGGCGGAGAGGCTGTGTTGGCAATCATGTGGAGGCGATCTGCTATCCTCCCTGCGGTTTCGGTCCGAGAGGGGCGGGCGTGAGTGGTCGAGTGGTCGCAGCGTGGTCCAAGGTTGGGTTCCAGGATGTCTGCTCAAGGGTTGGCAGCTTGCTTGGACCATTATGCCCGACAGCTTCAGGCCAGGACATGCCGAAAGGGCAGCCTGGGCTGTGTTAGATGTCATGTCGCATTATGTGATGCGTCTGCAAGGTACGGGCCGACAATAGCAACTTCAGTCAGAGTGTGGCAGGCCGCGGCCTGCTGGCTCCTTGTGTTCAAGATGCGACTCAAACTGTTTTTGCGAACGACAGAGGCGAAAATCGACTTTGTCGAGGGAAAGCCTGTAGCCGTTGAAAGACAAGCCCAGGCAGAAGCCTCCGTCTTGAGCACAGTTCAGCAGAGTGTCCATGCGACAGGTGCCAGTAAAAGGCTTTGCCGTGGACTGTGCAGCTCACGGTGAGCCATTCTGCATCATCTTCTGGCCCGACGCGCAATTCCCAGCTGACTTTGCGACCTGCCTTGTGCTACCTGCGGTCTGTTACCCATGCCGCGCATGCCGTGCCGAGATCACTCCTCCTTCCGAGTATGAAAGCATTGGCTTGGAAGTGAAGGTGTCTGGACTCACAGGCCAGGCGTGCAGATGCGTGCAGGCATTCCGAGTATGCAGCGTGCCTTAGAACATGCGGCTTCGGCTTACACAGAGATTTCTGTGCTCCCTCAGGACCAGCAGGCCCGGACTCAGAGCTCAGCTTCTTTTACCAGGCCACAGAGGAACAGCAGAGGGTTCAGCTCTGACCCTGTCGGAGAGGTGGCACCCTTTAGGCAGGAGGACATGTGCAAGAAGATGGTGCTGGAGGTCCGGACGGAAGCCCCGCGAGAAACTCCCGAGCCCGCAGCATCCCGCGGTGGGCATCCGCAGGCGCGGCGCCTCAAGGAGATGATCTCGAACCAACGCCTCTGGGCCGGCAGCCCGGGCCCTGGCCTGGGCCGCAAATCCAAAACCTTCAAGACACCCCGGATTAGGTTTCATTTGGGGTTGCTTGAAACTTGGGATTGCAGCCGCATGTTCTTTCAGTATGTGAGGTTTCGCGCACGCATATTTTTTTAATCTTCGTTTGCGGGCTTCAGGGTGTTCCAATGTGTTCCACCAAGCATTGCTTCAGCTTATCTATCAGGGTTTAAGGTTTCTCTCTCGACGTCTCCTTTCAGTTTTTCTCTTATGGTGTGAGGTTTCGCGTGCCACATATCCTTTTCGCTTTTGGGTATCCGGCGTGAAGGTTAGGGTTCCCACCCAGCGTGTGCTTGTCCGTTCAGGGTTATAGAGTTTCCCATCCAACATTTCGTTGAGGGTTTGAGGCCCCGGCCCCGCGCGCGATGCTACTGTTTCAGGTTTAGGGTTTACCTGTAGTAACGAACATGGCTTGATGTTGGAAAGTCTACTAGTCGTAGGCGTCGACGGTCGCTCTCCGCTTCTCTTCACATCTAGATGGATGGACAGTACGGAAAACACCACCGTTAACCGAAGCAAAGCTAAACCTTGGCAGTGACAAAGCTAACATTGGCTTAAAAAGCGCGCCAAGAAGTGACTGCTTCCAAAGAACCTCAACCAGCAACGAGGGATGATGGGTTTCGGGCGGGTAGCAAAACCCATTCCTCCTGCCTAAACGGAGCGACTGGCTGCCCAAAGCCCAAAGCCCTGACGGGATTGATGTTGGGGCAGACCAGGCAGGCAAGACCACCATAGGAGATGATTGGCGAAACCTCAACCCTGGCTGGAGATTTGTTCTCACAGCCCAAAAGCCAAAAGGTTGGTGCGCAGCCAGAAGTTAAGTTGCGGAAGGCTGGTCCCCATCATCAAAGGTGTAAAAGGAGAAGATTTTTGGACCCTTGAAAGATTGCTAGTCTAGGGTTCTTGAGAAGGACTGATTGCACAAAATGGAAACTTGAAAGTTGATTCCCCAAAACCCCAAGCACCTTGAAGGAAGTGACAGGTTGCCAAAAGTGTAAAGCTCAAATAAGCAGGGAGCACGTGCACGGGTCGTGCTTCGTCACCCGGAGGGGTAGCAAACACGCTATCAATGAGTGCGATGACTCGTTTTCTTTTGGCAAAGCTGAAAACGCTCGCGGGGAAGGACTCCTTTTCTTCTGATTTCGCAGGCAGGGGCAGTGCATCCGGCAATCGACCCGGATGAGGTAATTCTACTGATTCTACTGCGTGTAAGTGGTAGATCTGTCTGTCTGTTTGTCTATTTATCTGTCTATGCATCTATCTATCCGTCGATCTATCTATCTATCTATCTATCTATCTATCTATTGATCGATCTATCTTTCTATCTATCCATCCATCCATTCTCCTAACTACCTAACTGCCTATCTATCTATCTATCAATCTATCTATCTGTCTATCTATCTATCTATCTATCTATTGATCGATCTATCTTTCTATCTATCCATCCATCCATTCTACCTAACTACCTATCTATCTATCTATCTATCTACCTATCTATCTATCTATCTATCTATCTATCTACCTATCTATCTATCTATCTATCTATCTATCTATCTATCTATCTCTCTGTCTATCTGTCTATCTCTCTGTCTATCTGTCTATCTCTCTGTCTATCTATCTATCTATCTATCTATCTATCTGTCTATCTGTTCATCTGCCTACCTACTTATCTGTGTATCTGTCTATCTATCTATCTATCTATCTATCTATCTATCCCTCTATGTATCTTATAATGTATTTATCCATCCATCGTGCGTCGGCGGGTTTGGGTTGGGCTTCAGGGAATCCCTCTTGCCCCTATTGGCATGGGTGGGTCTGGCTTCAGTCGGTGGGTAATGGATGTTGGGGTCGATGTGGGTAAAGGTGGGTTCGGGCGTGGCTTTGTTCAATCCCCTTCTTGGTATGGGTGCAGGTTTGCTTGGTTCCCGGCTCCCATGGTGATGTCGAGATCCAGATTATCCAGCTACCGACGGCGACCAGTGGATCGTGATGGTTCCCCCTTCCCCTTAAGACGACAGTCACGAGGACCACGACCCTAAGCGACCCATCCCTGCGACTGTTGGCACGCTTGCGACATTGTCATCGTTGTCATCGTCATCATCATCATCATCATCATCATCGTCATCATTCTCCTCGTCATCATCATCGTCATCATTCTCCTCATCATCAGCATCGTCATCAGTATGCCTCGGCAAAGAGGCCGGGCTGCCCTTGACCTCCCTTCAGCGGTTCCTATGTCGGATGGTGGGCTGCGGCGACCGGGTGGGTTCCGTTGGTGGGTGGGCCGCGGCGACCGGGTGGGTCTTCGCTGGTGTAATCTTACTTCAAGACAGTCGCCGTTCGCAAATTCGACACCTTTTCTCTCGTCCTGGCAGCCGGATTCAGCTGTTCAGGTCCAGGAATTAGTTGGTGTGGGTCCTGTTGCCACTGCCCCACCCGGTATTTGCCCTGGTTGATGTGGAGTGCAGCACATACCACAGTATAATCCCAGTTGCAGTATGATGTATGCCCGCGGCATCTCACATCATACATACACATGCAGCGAAGCAGGTGCGTGTTGGTGAACCGCGCAAGAACTTCGTGAAGACTTGGGCAAACTTGCTGGAGGTCGTCGATGGAAACGGAAGTATTGGGGGCCAGCCAGGGCCCGGCTGTGCGAAATAGAGCAACTGAGTGTGCAAATGCGGTCGTTTAAAAGTTTGTGTTTAGGGTTTAGGGTTTAGGGCTTAGGGTGAGGAATTTTACTGGCAATCCATTAACAGCCTACAAAAGAGCACAAGAATCAGCTTCAGATGCAAAACAGCCAACCGATTTTGCGACCTCGCTTCGTGCCCACGGAAGGACTTCTCGACAGTTTCGCATCCGATGCCGACTGTTTCACTGTATGCACCGTTCTGCAGTGCCAAGACCTACCTCCTCTTCTGAGACCACCTTGTGCAATACCGGGCCCTCGTGCCACCCCGGCTCTAATCTATTTCAGGGTTGAGCTTGAAACCGGTTGAGCTGTGTAAGGAGGGGAGGATTTCACACCGCCCCCCAATGGAAGGGGGTACTATATTCCTTGCCTGGGTCCGCAAATGTTTCTCCGGGAATCCCGAAACGGAGAAGACACGTCCCGAAATGCCTGACGCACGAGTTCGGTTGGCGTGGGTTCTCTCTCAGGTTCACTGCCGGTGGAGAAGCCAAGGCGGCTTCGACGAGTGCCTCGATTGATCTTGAAGCAGCTTGCACAGCTTCATACGTCAGTACTGTAGCCTTCCACAGCCACCAGCTTGTTTAAGCGGCTTTTTGACATAGTGACATGGTGGCCATATTCAGCTTGGTGAAGGGCATTGTAGCTGAGGCGAGTGATTTCCTGCAGCAGCACAAGAGTGCCCTTCAGCATTCGCGGCTTGTTTATGTTGGTCATGTGAGGGATCGAGTGCTGCTCATATCACTGCTTCGAAGAAGGCGGTGCGCATGTCTCAGTATAAGCCGTTACATGACAACGGATGGCTCAAGCCTGATCTTGAATCACTGCACAGGGAAAGATCGTGCGGGATGCAGTTGCTTTCGGAGCTTGATTTGATCCGATCATGAATCCATCTTATAATTATCTAGATGACGTGCCGTGGCAGATTAGAGAACGCCTCAGAGGCACGGGGAGCGCGGATCAACCAGAAGACGAGCAAATGTCGACTCCACTAAATCGTTTGATTCGAACTCTTCCTGATCATTATAGTCCGATTACCGATACGAATAGTCCAGATCGACATCAGACGACGACGCAGCTCCAGCAACTTGGATCAGCAATCCTTTCAGCGGGCCATAACCAACAGGTTATGAGCCCAAGCACCACTGCAGCAGCAGCAGCAACAGCAGGCTCTACCTCAAGTGGGGCGAATCCTGGGACAGCAACATTGATGCAAGCTACAAGATTGGACATTCCTGTTCAGGCTTTGGAGCAGTTTGCACAGGCAAGTGCGATCGTCCATCCTTGAGGATCTCCGTTCTGCTGTTGTCGAACTCCATGATCGTATGCAGTATCGGACGAATGTTCTGGGAAACACAGCAACATCCTTGAATGCTGGGTACAATCAGCTGTGGGAGCACCTGCAGCGTACGCAGCAGTCCGTCGATGCTCATACGAGTGTCTTGCAGAATCTCATTGCGGAGAATCAAGGTTTGCGTAATGAAGTCGCAGAAGCGCGTGCTCACCTGGCAGATGCCAGGGAGGAAACACGGCAGGCTTCATTAGGACCGGTGCAATGGCAGGCCCAGATAGAGGCACACATTGCAAAGATACAAGCGGAGCTTGAGGTGAGGTTCCGTGATCAACACGACATCAATCAGAAGCACGAGGCCACAAGCGTGGCAACATCAGACCGCCTTCAGGGCTTTGAAAGGGCTGTGAGGGATGTGATGGAATCGTGCCACCGTGTTTCGGATGGAATTGATGGTCCTGCGACTTCGGAATCCCTATCCAGGGTCGAGGTCCTCGAAGCAGGAATGAAGCAGTACACAGATGATTTAGCAAACATTAGGCAGGAGCTGGATGTTACCCAGATGCTTGCACATGAGGTTGCAGAGCGGCAACTTGAATTGGACCAGCGTTTGGGTCTGTGTGAGAATAAGGTGACGCAATTCCAGATGTATACGGCCGGTGAGCTGGAAGACGCTTTCGAACAGGAGTGGTGGCCGGAGGTCCCAGCGACTTCAGATCACCATCCTTCAGGAGGAGAGCTGAGTCTACCATCAGCTGCGCCACCCGGGCTTGAACTAGGTCCGAGTGCAACTGTGGCTTCTGAGAGTGGGACTGGCAACGGTCAATTGCAGACATCAGAAGTTTTGGTGCAGCAAATTCCTACTGCACCGTCTTCAGGGCAGCCTGCAAAGGCTGCTGAGCAAATTCATCATGGACGTTGGAAGCTGCTTCAGGATGTGCCTCTCCTGACTTTAGGCGCTGGCGAGCCATGGGAGCAGGGAATGCGGTTGAGAACGTGGATTAAGCAAGTGGAGACTATATCGCACACCATCGCAGATTCCTTTGGTAGCTATGTCCGGCGGCAGTTTCAACTTGCGGAAACGAGGCATCAACAACAACTTGCAGGACTGTATGGTCCGAGACCTTTGTCGGCGGTTGCGACTGAGGATCTGGAGCATGAAAATCGCTACGTGCTGATGCTGATTCGGCGCATTCCCGCTGAGTTGAAGCAAGGTGTTTTGGAGAAGAACTCTGAGAGTGAACCTATCCGGGCAGCAGAGCTTCTGAGCGGCATTCTAGAGAACTTGCAGCCTGGGGGGACAGCTGAGATGGCATCTATCAACTCTTTCATCCGGGCTTTGCAACCTGTGAACAGTGCTACAGAAGCTTTGTCTACGTTGCGAAGATGGAAATTGGCAAGAGCAAGGGCATCTTCACTGTCTATGCCATCAGTTGCCGCCTACGAGGAACTTCAGGCACTGGGAGCTCTGGTCCGAAATTTGGAGCGGAAGCATGATCGATTGCGCGCGGTGCTGGGTCTACTCAGAACCAGACCAGAGATCGTTCGACCAACGAATGCAGGCGTGGATTCTTTTCTCGAACTTGTCGAGCAGCAGCTGCAACTCTTGTCCGCTGACGAGCATGTGCGAAGCAATCGGCAACATGTGGATCCACCGGATCCCCAGGCATCGAAAGGCAAGGGCAAGGGGAAACCGGGAAAGCAGGGAGATCCAAGCACAAAGAGAAAGCCATGCCAGTTTCTGGCAAAGTTCGGCAAGTGTCGATTTGGGGATAGGTGTTTTTTCAGTCATGATAAGCCGGCTCAAAATCCAAACACAGCACCGTTGGCACCACCGCCACCGCCGGGGCCATCTAGTGCTGCTGTAGCAGAGAGTGGTACTGAGTGTTTGATTTGGAAGAAGACTGGCAAGTGTAGATTTGGAAAGAAGTGTAAGTTCCATCATGCGACAGCCGATGCAGCTGCGCCGAAAGCGAGTCCGAAACCTGCTGCAAAGCCCAAGGCGGCACCCGCCGTAACCAAGGACAAGCTGGTAGGAGCAACAGCTAAGGCATCTTGAGTCATGTCCATGTCGGCACACGCTTCGAGACCCACAGCCATGATGATTAGGAGGGATGTGGAGTCAGAAGGTAGCGAGTCTGAGGCTTCTGTAGTGTCAGGGGCAATACCCATGCACGCAGAGGCTAGAACTTCTGAGTGGTCAGACGTTGAGGCGGGCGTATTCCCATCCGAAGAATCAGAGGTATCATCGAGCGATGCTGATTTCGAGCGTGAGCATGTTGATGGACCGTTGTGGGTACTAGATCTGTCTTTGCGAGAGTATCTGTCTCTGCGAGGGTCCTCTAGTACACACGTCCGAGCAAGCCGTGAGTTCTCCAGAGAAACGAATCCATGGGCTATCACATGGGCTGTGTGGTTCTCCATTGTCCATGATCAGCTTGACGAAGATGAGAGAGGAGTGATTCCGATTGCTGAGGGAGTGGTGATGCTCAGATGTGATGTTGTGTTCGTGATGTGTGAGGATCAAGTAGAGCGTCATGTGTTCGTTGTGCATGTCCTTGAGGAGGAGACTGGTCGTGAAAGGATGATAGACGTAGTTCGAGCTTTGTCTAGACCGGTAGTTCAGCCTTGGGAACCAGTCGCTCGAGAGTGGCGGGAGCGGGGAATCCCCGCGGCGAAGGCACCGACAGTGCCACCACCACCAGCTTTGATAGGAGCTCAGCAATCCGTGATACCTAGCGCAAGGGCTAGAGCTTCCTCTACACGTAGGGTGTTCGATGCGAGTGACACACATGCGACTGTGGCGAGAGCACCAGCGGCTAGGACAACTGTGGCGAGAGCACCGGCACTTCGAACACAAAATAGGTCGTGGGCTGCATGCGCGCAGTCCAATAGCATCGTTCAGGAGGAGCGACGGGTTTTAGCTGATACAGGGGCTAATGAGCTCATTCGTCCAGCTGGGGAAGGGCAACCTCAAAGATCGTGCAAGGAGTACTTGACTCTTGCTGATGGCAACACCACTTTTGCTTATCGCACCCGGGACGGCGAGCTTGCCATACCAGAAAATGAGTCTACTTGGATAGCTCCGATTGGGAAGATTGTAGCTTTGGGTTTTCGGTTCGAGTGGGATCCTGAGTTCGGAGTTCGCTTGATTCGCGGTCAGGGTCCAGACGCAGAAGTGATTCACATGACAGTTGAGAATGGGCTTCCATACTGTTAGCTATGATGAGGTCTTAGAGGCAATCTTGAAGGCCGACGTCAAGCCACAGCAGCATCACCGCAGATGCGCCGAAACTGACAATCCCACCGGTTTCAAGTCGTGGCTGTTTGGGGCTTTCGGGCAGGGATCGTTGAGTGGTGTTGCGCGACATACTGGAGAGCGACCGTGCCTAGTGAAACTCATCAACAAACTTATGCATCAAGAAGTTCCCCACATGGCTTGGACATCATTCACGATATCTCAGGATGTAGCGTTCGCTCCCCATCAGGACCGAAACAACAAGCCAGGTTCTAGAAACGTGGTTGTGGTGGTGAGCGACAGGAATTCTTGCCAGGGTGGTGATCTCTGGGTTCAGCGTGAGGATGGCGACGAAACCCGAACAGTTGCCGAGGGAAAGACGCTGAAGGGCATCGTATTTCCCATTTCTCGGCATCCATTGGTTTTTGATCCGAAGCAATGGCATGGAACTACACCTTGGACAGGCACTCGCATTTCAATATCATGTTTTACGACCCGGACAGAGAACTTGACTGCCGGCGACCGCGCGCGGCTGCGAGGTTTGGGATTCCCCTACTTTGCAGCAGAAGCTTCAGCAGCCAACGCCAGCAACATTCAGCAAGATGCAGCATGCGACGACGACCAAAACACCCGACCTCAGACGACGACGAGCAACCAAGATCAGGGTTTTGAGGGAGGGCAGTTTGGGTCTGGTCAGGCTGTGCAGGGGTCCGTTGGCGTTCCAGGTTGTTTTGAGGACTTCGGCGAAACTCATGCTGCCATGATATCCGCGTCGGAGCAACCGGTGATTGATCTGGAGGACGAATCCTCAGCAACGGAAGCGCCTCCGAAAGCTGTCGGTGTAGTCGATCTAGAGCCGCCGGATGCTGAGGGTCCAGCCTCATCTTTCGAAGAGCGAGCGCAGAAGCAAGCAATGATCGACTTGCATAAGAAGTGCCATCAGGGGCTGTATGATCGTGATTGTCCGCATTGTGTTCAGGCCAAGGGAAATCGGAAGCTTCATCAAAGCTTGAGTCCTGAGGAGAAGTCGGGAGGAACCCTGACGCTGGATCTTAGCGGGCCCCACAAGGTTTCCATCGATGGGTATAAGTACGCGCTGGTAGCCGGATACATCATGACCAGTGGCCGAGTCCTGTACTACGTTCGGGGTCTGAGGACCAAGCAGGGCAGCGAAGTGGCGACCGAGGCTGCACAGGTCATGGCGCGATTATGCGCATTGGGAGTGGAGCCATTCTTTCGGGTTCACACAGACAATGGGGGGGAATTTATCTCCAAGGAATTCCAGCAGCTCCTGAAGGATGTGTGTGCATTTCCCCCGACATCAGCACCATACACACCAAAGGCAAACGGCATCATCGAGAGGGGCATCCAGATACTCAAGGATGAGGTGATTCGAACCCTCACACATGCTGGAATGCCGGTGGTATACTGGCACGTTGCCATGCAGGATGCGGCTTTGAGACATCGTGTGCGTACCTTAAAGGGGGTTATTCCGAAGGATGCACCCAAGATTGGGGATGCAGTGGCAATTCGTAGACACAATCCGGAGGGTTTCAGGCCTCGAGCCGAAATTGGAGTGTTCGTTGGAATGTGTGATGATATGCCTGGTGGGGCATGGGTAACCACGCAGACCAATGGGCGCTTGCAACTTCAAAAGGCACGGTTGCCGCGGCTGGTTGACGTACCGCGGGTTACTTGGAAGGTTGTTGAGGGGCCGTCTGGCGATCGGTTGTGGCTGGCATCGAATGGTAAGACTAGCTGGAGTCAGGAGCCACCGAGCGGTGTCTTGACTTTGGAGGAGCGAGCGCTAGGACCGGACGACCAGGAGGATGACCTCGAAGGCCTGATCAAGAAGATCAAGATGCGAATGAGCAAGCTACACGGCGACGAAGGTCTTGCAAGGTTTGCTCAGTGTGGTCATGGGTTTTTGGTAGACTCCTCGGATGTTGGGGTAATTCCAGCAGCTCATGTCATTACTAACTCGCGAGAGTCTGCGACCAGGGAGTATCATTTGGACGATGCCGATGTGGAAACCCAGGCAGATGAACTTGCTCGGCTAATGACCGAAGTAGCCGCAACAAAGGCCAGTGCAGATCTCATGGACAATCGAGTGTTTTTTGGGGACGAGAAGGAGCGCTGGATTGAGGGAGTGAAGAATGAGCTTGGGGGTATGCGCACGAAGGAGGTTCTCGAGGATGTTGATCGCGATCATCTTGAAAGAGACCTTGGGGTGGACGCGCAACACATACCTAGGCCATTGCCCACAAAATTGGTAGCGACGCGAAAACCCTTGGATGCAAACGCCGAGCACCAGGACAATCTTCCTTGGAAGGCGAAAGTGCGAATCGTTGCTTGTGGGAATCATGAAATGCAGACTGTCGCGGAGGAGAATAGCACGCAAAACATTAGTCCGGAAGCCCTGAGATTGATGGCGCAACAATTGTCGAGTCATGATGACTGGATTGGGGCGTCAGGGGATGTGTCCCTGGCATTCTTAAATTCAGAGCCTACCTGACGATGAAATCGTACTTCTGGAACCTCCGGGGATATTACGGCGACTGGGTCTAGTCCGACCGGGAACGCTATGGAGAGCCAGGAAACACATCTATGGACTTCGTCGTAGTCCACGGGCTTGGAGCCAGCTTCGGGATGCAACATTGAACGGAAGGGTCATCGATGCAGGGGGAAGGCAAATCACTTTGACCTTGGTTGATGATCGCGAGGGTTTGTTTGTTGCAAAGGATGCCGAGGGAAAGATTCAAGCCATTGTAGCGGTTTATGTTGACGATGTGTTCGCAGTTGGTGTGCCTTCAGTCGTCGGCGCCATTATGGGGCTCATCGCTAGAACGTGGGACACAAAGTTCTCAGGATTCATTTCGCGCGGCGAGGAGCAATCACTTGACTGTGGAGACGGCTTGACGCTGAAGCGTGTCGATGAACTCAGCTTTATCGGGCTACAGATTCGCTTTACGGGTGCAGCAGTCGCTTTCCATCAGAGACGTTGGGTCCTCACCGAGCTTCACAAGCGTGGCTGGCTACATTTCAACGGCGCCCCGTGTTTGCCGAATGTGGACACGTTGGCAGTCGACAAATCGGATGAGTCAGATTATCAAGAAAATCTTCGCGCAGCTCAGGTTGAACTGGGATGTTTGTTGTGGATTGCGACAAAGACGCGATTTGACATCCTGGCCACTGTTTCCATTGCAGCTAGTCATTTGCATAAGGGTCCGAAGGAGGTGTTACGTGTTGCTAAGGGATTGTGGCGATACTTACGTAGCACATTAGATGTCGCATTGACGTATGGCGCAACAACTGGGGCACCTGAGGGACTGCAATGCTGGTCGGATGCCAGCTTTGCAGCGGAGGGCAGCCGCTCGAGAAGCGGCGGTATCATAACCATTCGGGGATCTCCAATCGCATGGTGGTCATGTAAACAAACGGTGACGGCATGGTCGGCTACAGAGGCCGAGACTGATGCTTTGGCCGCAACGATTTCGGAGGCTTTGAAACTGCAACCGCTCGCGGAGGCCCTTCTGGGGTGCACGGTGCCGGTGTCCATCCGCCTTTACGGCGACAACTCTGGAATCGTCCAGCTTCTGAACCGAGAGGTGCTTCACAAGTGTTCGTGGCGCACTCGTGCTTTTGCGCTTCGGGCCGCGTGGGTGAGATATCAAATGCATGAGCACGGCATTCCGCTTGAGCATCATCCAGGCGCTACGCTTATTGCTGATTTACTCACAAAGACCTTGAGCAAGACCAAACTTCGCGAGTTACGTGAACGGGCACAGTTGCTAGTTTTTGTAGATTATGCACGTGTAAACTATTGTTTTTTTGTGCAATTCATGGATGGCCGCTGCTACCAGTGCTCTAGTGGAAAAGTATTGTGCGTCTCGTGCCATGGTACATTGAGTTCCACTACCACTTAACGTGCGTGAGATCTGAGTGGTTATCCCCAACTATAGTTTATCAGCCGTATAGCGGCCTGGTACAACAACTACTATACTGGTGGACAGTGCATGAGCTCACCTGAACTGGTCCCAGACGATTCGCCTAGCAGTCTATCGTTTCGTTCTAC